CGAGGATGTGGAAGAGTTCGTGGAGGACCACAGGAAAGAGCTAACCACTGAAGAGCTGGAAGAGCTTCATCTGGAACAGTATCAGACCACAGCTGAGGAACTTGCTTCAGATGAGGAGGAAGAGGGAGCTGATGAGGTGCCTTCTTCAAAGATTAAGGAGATTTGTGCCAAGTGGAATGATGTGCAAACGTCTGTGGAGAAGTACCACTCTGAGCAAGCTGAAACAAGCCATCTTTGCAACAAGTTCAGTGACAGAACCATGTCCCATTTTAAGGAAATCTTAAAGAGGTGCCAGAAACAGAGGACTGTGGAGAGTTATTTTGTGAGACAGGGGTCCAGTGACTTTCAAGCTGGTCCTAGTACATATCATTAAAAGACAAAGAAGGGAAGTAACCCCAGAGAGGGTTTTGCTACCTGAAGTCTTTATGGAAGGGGATTTCCCTTCCAAACAGTAAGCCCTCCCTCATTATTCCTCCCTACCTTCCAGATGCCATCAACAATCTTCAATAAAGGTAAGTAAAAATGTTATTTTATATGTTTATTTAAATTTTGATTTATCAATTACTAATTGTACTATGTATGTTTGTTGTGTGTATGTAAAACTAATATAATCTCTATAAAATGTATTTTTTTGTGAATATTTTGGGGTTTCTGGAACGGATTAATTGTATTTCCATTATTTCTTATGGGAAATATTGCTTCGAAATTCAAATATTTCAACTTTAGAACTAGCTCCTGGAACGGATTAAGTTCAAAACTCGAGGTTCTGCTGTACATTATTTAGGTATGCATACTGGTCAGAGAGCCCGTCGTAAGTCAGAGTCGTCATAAGTCAGTCATCGGTAAACGAGTACGTCACTAAGTGAGGAGAGGCTGTACAATTATATATTCACTTTTATTTTTGTAAGATCTGGAGGTCTAAAAAAAAGTTGTTTGAGGGGGAAGCTCACATTCAGAGTTTTTGCTCATATCCAGAAACAAAAAATCGACCGAGTGACTGCTTGTACCCTGAAAAACTTCTATGGTGGGGCACTCGTAAGCCAAGGTTCCACTATATTGGCATCCCTAGTTTTGAAGGTTCTCATTATGCAGCCTGTCATTTTCTAGCAGATGCAACTGATACAATGTTGTGGTCTTTGAAGGTGAGATTCTCTGCCATTATCACTCTCAGGTTTTTTACATTAGTTTCTCGTTCTATTGTGTGGTTTGAATTTGTTTTATACTCCAACATAGTTTTAATTTCCTCACATTTTCCATATCGGAGTAATTGAAATTTCTCATCATTGAACTTCATATTGTTTTCTGCAGCCCATTTGAAGATTCGGTTGATGTCCACCTGGAGTCTTGCAGTGTCTTCAATGGAGGACACTGTCATGCAAATTTGAGTGTCATCTGCAAAAGAAGACACGGTGCTGTGGCTTACATCCCAGATATGAGGATGAGGAACAGGATGAGAGTGAGTACTGTGCCTCATGGAACAGAGATTTTCACCGTAGCCGCCTCAGACTTTACTCCATTTACTACGAATCTTTGTCTTCTATTTGTTAGGAAATTATAGATTAATCTACAAACTTTTACTATTATTCCTTTATCACACATTTTGTGCGCTATTACACCATGGTCACACTTGTCAAAGGCTTTTGCAAAGTCTGTGTATACATTTGTAGTTTGCTTTCTTCTAGAGCATCCAGGACTTTGTCACAGTGGTCCAGTATTTGGGACAAGCAGGAGTGACCTGCTCTAAACCCATGATGCCCTGGGTTGTGTAACTGATGGGTATCTAGATGGGTGGTGATCTTGCTTCTTAGAACCGTTTCAAAGATTTTGATGATATGAGATGTTAGTGCTGTCAGTCTATAGTTATATGCTATTGCTTAACTGCCTCCTCTGTGGAGTGGGGCTATGTCTGTTGTCTCATGCAGCTGTGGGATGACCCCTGTGTCCATGCTTCCTCTCCACAGGAATCAAGCTAGCAATCAAGCTACAGGACACCTATAACCCAAAAAAAAGGTTGAAGTGACTAATTTCCAATGGGTCATACAGCTTCCCTTCCATGGGTCACACAGCTTCCTTTCCATGGGTCACACAGCTTCTCTTCCATGGGTCATACAGCTTCCCTTCCATGGCTCATACAGCTTCCCTTCCATGGGTCATACAGCTTCCCTTCCATGGGTCATACAGCTTCCCTTCCATGGGCCACACAGTTTCCCTTCCATGGCTCATACAGCTTCCCTTCCATGGCTCATACAGCTTCCCTTCCATGGGTCATACAGCTTCCCTTCCATGGGTCACACAGCTTCCCTTCCATGGGTCATACAGCTTCCCTTTCATGGGTCACACAGCTTCCCTCCCATGGGTTATACAGCTTCCCTTCCATGGGTTATACAGCTTCCCTTCCATGGGTCACAGCTTCCCTTCCATGGGTCACAGCTTCCCTTCCATGGGTCACACAGCTTCCCTTCCATGGGTCACACAGCATCCCTTCCATGGGTCACACAGCTTCCCTTCCATGGATCACAGCTTCCCTTCCATGGGTCACAGCTTCCCTTCCATGGGTCACAGCTTCCCTTCCATGGGTCACAGCTTCCCTTCCATGGGTCACACAGCTTCCCTTCCATGGGTCACACACCTTCAATTCCATGGGTCACACAGCTTCCCTTCCATGGATCACACAGCTTCCCTTCCATGGGTCACACAGCTTCCCTTCCATGGGTCACACAGCTTCCCTTCCATGGGTTATACAGCTTCCCTTCCATGGGTCACAGCTTCCCTTCCATGGGTCACACAACTTCCCTTCCATGGGTCACACAACTTCCCTTCCATGGGTCACACAGCTTCCCTTCCATGGGTCACACAGCTTCCCTTCCATGGGTTATACAGCTTCCCTTCCATGGGTCACAGCTTCCCTTCCATGGGATATACAGCTTCCCTTCCATGGGTCACAACTTCCCTTCCATGGGTCACAGCTTCCCTTCCATGGGTCACACAGCTTCCCTTCCATGGGTCACACAGCTTCCCTTCCATGGGTCACACAGCTTCCCTTCCATGGGTCACACAGCTTCCCTTCCATGGGTTATACAGCTTCCCTTCCATGGGTCACAGCTTCCCTTCCATGGGTCACACAACTTCCCTTCCATGGGTCACACAGTTTCCCTTCCATGGGTCACACAGCTTCCCTTCCATGGGTTATACAGCTTCCCTTCCATGGGTCACACAGCTTCCCTTCCATGGGTTATACAGCTTCCCTTCCATGGGTTATACAGCTTCCCTTCCATGGGCCTTACAGCTTCCCTTCCATGGGTTATACAGCTTCCCTTCCATGGGTCATACAGCTTCCCTTCCATGGGTTATACAGCTTCCCTTCCATGGGTTATACAGCTTCCCTTCCATGGGTTATACAGCTTCCCTTCCATGGGTCATACAGCTTCCCTTCCAAGGGTCACACAACTTCCCTTCCATGGGTCACAGCTTCCCTTCCATGGGTCACACAGCTTCCCTTCCATGGGTTATACAGCTTCCCTTCCATGGGTCACACAGCTTCCCTTCCATGGGTTATACAGCTTCCCTTCCATGGGTTATACAGCTTCCCTTCCATGGGTTATACAGCTTCCTTTCCATGGGTTATACAGCTTCCCTTCCATGGGTCACAGCTTCCCTTCCATGGGTTATACAGCTTCCCTTCCATGGGTCACACAGCTTCCCTTCCATGGGTTATACAGCTTCCCTTCCATGGGTTATACAGCTTCCCTTCCATGGGCCACAGCTTCCCTTCCATGGGCCACAGCTTCCCTTCCATGGGTTATACAGCTTCCCTTCCATGGGCCACAGCTTCCCTTCCATGGGTTATACAGCTTCCCTTCCATGGGTATACAGCTTCCTTCCATGTTAACAGCTTCCCTTCCATGGGTATACACTTCTTCATGTCACAGTCCTTCCATGGTCACAGCTCCTCCATGGGTCAAGCTTCCTTCCATGGTCACAGCTGTTCCTTCATGGGTCACTTAGCTTCCTTCCATGGGTACACAGCTTACCTTCCATGGTAAAACAAGCAGCTTTCCGTTCCATGGTCACTCAGCTTCCCTTCCATGGTCACTAGCTTCCCTTCCATGACACACACACCTTCCCTTCATGGGTAACTAGCTTCCCTTCCTATGGGTCCCCAGTTCCTTTCCAGGTCACTAGTTACCTTCCATGGTCACAGCTTCCCTTCCATGGTCAACAGCTTCCCTTCCATGGGTCACAGCTTCCCTTCCATGGGTCACAGCTTCCCTTCCATGGGTCACAGCTTCCCTTCCATGGGCCACAGCTTCCCTTCCATGGGTCACAGCTTCCCTTCCATGGGTCAGAGCTTCCCTTCCATGGGCCACAGCTTCCCTTCCATGGGCCACAGCTTCCCTTCCATGGGCCACAGCTTCCCTTCCATGGGCCACACATTAAATGTTAATCTCTGGACATTTAACAAAGTTCATGATAAATTAACACTGCTGGTGAACCTCAACATATTGTTACACTACTGTAACTTACACATGAGAATGACCCCAGTGGAAATAAACCAGAGTCAGACATGACTGGGTTATCCTTAATTATACTTTAGTTACTATATAAGACCATGGTAAAAAAATAATTAACTTATGAAAGCTAAATTAAAAAAGTTAAGTATTAAAGTTACTATCAGATCAGGTGACTGGAGGTTTGCCTGGTCCTGAGTACTGTCTTGTCTCCACTACAAACATCATATTAATATGTTAAATTTGAGTTTGAGTCCCGGTCTAAGTGGTATCCCCCCAGTACCTGATTCCAGTACCTATTTAACCTGTCTGGAATGAGATCGTAATCAGGGAAAACTATAGCCTCTTCTGCGAGTGTTACAACACCACATTTAGCTAGGCCGGTGTGGTGTGTGCAGGGAGCGCCGCCCCCTACTGACCATGTATAGGTGGAGTAAAATATAATTCATAAGGTTAAATGAGTGTATTGATGACGTGTCTGCCTCCACCTACCTCAAACAGCTGATCACGACCTACAGCTGGGTGGCCATCTTGGGGTCGCTTACACTACAAACTCACAATTCACACAAAAAACGGAAAATTGTCGCTATTATTTATTAATTTGATCGTTTCAATTATATAAGTAATTAAGTAAATAAGTTTATTCAGGTTCATTTACATAACATTTATAAGCGAGTTTACTCCTTCCTAGTGTCGTACAATATATTCAACACTTGTCAGTGTGGTTTGGGCAGAAAAAAAAGTTTATTCAGATATACACAAATACAGTTCCACAGATTATCATACATAGCAGCATATGTGTAGACAACCTGGGATAACCCAAAAAAGTTAGACTTATTTCCATTGGGGTCCTTTTAATACCTTATTATTATACAATAAAGGAGATAATATCTTATTATTACATTGATGCAATTACAAAAATGTTTGAACTGCTTTATGCAGCTCCTGGAAATAATGAATATCCTCGAGACGTCTTCAACCACCTGAGGAAAGCTTGCGATACACTGGACCACTGCATCTATACTTCAATTAGAACATTATGGGGTCAGAGGTCATATATACTCTTGCATACCCAGTCTTATTTTAACAATAGACACCAATACATCTCCATCAACAGCGTAACGTCGTCAACTCGGCTTGTAGTAGAGCTTCATGGCACTACTACGTCAACCTAACCTAACCTAAGCACAGAGAGTAAAAGGTCTGGTACAGCGTATGAGGCCGGGGATGCTGGAGCCATGTGTACGGTAAGTTTATTCAGGTATACACAATTACACAGATCATCATACATAGCGGCATATGTGTAGGAACCTAGGATACCCCAAAAAAGTCAGTGACTTATTTCCATTGGGGTCAGGATGAACCAACATACAACATTACTGTGTCTGGTGTGGTCAGGATGAACCAACATACAACATCACTGTCTGATGTGGTCACGATGAACCAACATACAACATCACTGTGTCTGGTGTGGTCACGATGAACCAACATACAACATCACAGTGTCTGGTGTGGTCACGATGAACCAACATACAACATCACTGTGTCTGGTGTGGTCACGATGAACCAACATACAACATCACTGTGTCTGGTGTGATCAGGATGAACCAACATACAACATCACTGTGTCTGATGTGGTCACGATGAACCAACATACAACATCACTGTGTCTGGTGTGGTCACGATGAACCAACATACAACATCACAGTGTCTGGTGTGGTCAGGATGAACCAACAGACAACATCACTGTGTCTGGTGTGGTCACGATGAACCAACATACAACATCACTGTGTCTGGTGTGGTCACGATGAACCAACATACAACATCACAGTGTCTGGTGTGGTCACGATGAACCAACATACAACATCACTGTGTCTGGTGTGGTCACGATGAACCAACATACATCACCGTGTCTGGTGTGGTCACGATGAACCAACATACAACATCACAGTGTCTGGTGTGGTCACGATGAACCAACATACAACATCACTGTGTCTGGTGTGGTCACGATGAACCAACATAAATCACTGTGTCTGGTGTGGTCACGATGAACCAACATACAACATCACTGTGTCTGGTGTGGTCACGATGAACCAACATACAACATCACAGTGTCTGGTGTGGTCACGATGAACCAACATACAACATCACTGTGTCTGGTGTGGTCACGATGAACCAACATACAACATCACTGTGTCTGGTGTGGTCACGATGAACCAACATACAACATCACTGTGTCTGGTGTGGTCACGATGAACCAACATACAACATCACTGTGTCTGGTGTGGTCTCGATGAACCAACATACAACATCACAGTGTCTGGTGTGGTCAGTATGAACTAACATACAACATCACAGTGTCTGGTGTGGTCACGATGAACCAACATACAACATCACAGTGTCTGGTGTGGTCACGATGAACCAACATACAATATCTAAAATCATATATAACTGCAAGAGTTGTTTGTGGTGGTGTTGTAGTGGCAACAGTCCCCCACTACAGTGGATGAAGCCAATACCTCAGTGCCGAAGCTCCTACAACTACAATATTGTCTGACCTTTTCGGGGGGTTATCCTAGGTAATTTACATTAAGTATGATAACTGATTGTACTTATGTGTACCGGTGCCTAAATAAACTTAATGATCTCCCCAACGCATCTCATCTTGAACCTGTCCTGTTCGCAGATGACATGACTACGTCTTCCACTCACATCCCACTATTCCAAGCGACACTTATGATAAGCTCCTAAAAGTATCTACGTGGATGACTACCAACAAACTCACCCTTAATAATATTGGCAAAACTTAATGCATGCTGTTTGGAAATGCAGCCTCAAATATCCAACTAAATATAATAATCAACGGTTCTCCCATTGCAAGACACACCGAGGGTAAATTCTTAGGTCCACCTTGAAATTGGCCATTCTTCTATATCCTCAGGGAGATCACTCAGAAGATTCTGAGATCACTCAGAAAATTCTGAGATACTCAGAAGATTCTGAGATCATTCAGAAGATTCTGAGATCACTCAGAAGATTCTGAGATCGCATAGAAGATTCTGAAATCACTCAGAAGATTCTGAGATCACTCAAAAGATTCTGAGATCACTCAGAAGATTCTGTGACCACTCAAAAGATTCTGAGACCACTCAAGATTCTGAGATCACTCAGAAGATTCTGATATCATTCAGAAGATTCTGAGGTCATTCAGAAGATTCTGAGATCACTCAGAAGATTCTGAGATCACTCAGAAGATTCTGAGACCACTCAGAAGATTCTGAGACCACTCAAGATTCTGAGATCACTCAGAAGATTCTGAGATCACTCAAAAGGTTCTGAGATCATTCAGAAGATTCTGAGATCACTCAGAAGATTCTGATTATTATTATTATTATTAAATATTCGCTGGTATTCTCCCGGCCCGGGCCTTTTCCAAGTGGTGGCCCGGCCTTGGCTCCCTCTTTAGGGAGTGTCTGAGACCTAAGTCTCCCATGGGAGGAGGCACAAGTACCTCCTCATCTTTGGGACCAACTGTCCCCAGGCCTAGCCACAAGCTAGGCCTCTCTGGTCTGCCACCCCCGCCCCAAGGGGGCGGGGGTGGCAGCTAAAGGCTCGGGCTCAGGCACCTACCCTACCCTAGAAGGGTTAGGCATGGTGTCGATGAAGATTCTGAGTGATCTCCCTGAAGATTTAGAAAAATGGGTACCACCAGAGCCATTCTATGCCCAAGACTGATAAAACCATTACTAGTATGGAGACCTAACATCTAACCATGTAACATCTGCAAACCTTCTACGGTAGGACACTGCCTCAGAAACAACTCAGCCGACCCAGCAAGGGCCCTGCAATCACCGGCTCCAGCAAGGGCTCTGCAATCACCGGCTCGAGTAAGGGCCCTGCAATCGCCAGCTCCAGCAAGGGCCCTGCAATCACCGGCTCCAGCAAGGGCTCTGCAATCACCGGTCGAGTAAGGGCCCTGCAATCGCCAGCTCCAGCAAGGGCCCTGCAATCACCGGCTCCAGCAAGGGCTCTGCAATCACCGGCTCGAGTAAGGGCCCTGCAATCGCCAGCTCCAGCAAGGGCCCTGCAATCACCAGCTCCAGCAAGGGCCCTGCAATCACCGGCTCCAGCAAGGGCTCTGCAATCACCGGTCGAGCAAGGGCTCTGCAATCACCGGCTCGAGTAAGGGCCCTGCAATCGCCAGCTCCAGCAAGGGCCCTGCAATCACCAGCTCCAGCAAGGGCCCTGCAATCACCGGCTCCAGCAAGGGCTCTGCAATCACCGGTCGAGCAAGGGCTCTGCAATCACCGGCTCCAGCAAGGGCTCTGCAATCACCGGTCGAGCAAGGGCTCTGCAATCACCGGCTCCAGCAAGGGCTCTGCAATCACCGGCTCGAGTAAGGGCCCTGCAATCGCCAGCTCCAGCAAGGGCCCTGCAATCACCAGCTCCAGCAAGGGCCCTGCAATCACCGGCTCCAGCAAGGGCCCTGCAATCACCGGCTCCAGCAAGGGCTCTGCAATCACCGGTCGAGCAAGGGCTCTGCAATCACCGGCTCGAGCAAGGGTCCTGCAATCACCAGCTCCAGCAAAAGCCCTGCAATCACCGGCTCCAGCAAGGGCCCTGCAATCACCAGTTCCAGCAAGGGCCCTGCAATCATCGACTCCAGCAAGGGCCCTGCAATCACCAGCTCCAGCAAGGGCCTTGCAATAACCGGCTCCAGCAAGGGTCCTGCAATCACCAACTCCAGCAAGGACCCTGCAATCACCAACTCCAGCAAGGGTCCTGCCCAACTCCAGCAAGGGTCCTGCAATCACCAACTCCAGCAAGGGTCCTGCAATCACCAACTCCAGCAAGGGCCTTGCAATCACCAACTCCAGCAAGGACCCTGCAATCACCAACTCCAGCAAGGGTCCTGCCCAACTCCAGCAAGGGTCCTGCAATCACCAACTCCAGCAAGGGTCCTGCAATCACCAGCTCCAGCAAGGACCCTGCAATCACCAGCTCCAGCAAGGGTCCTGCAATCACCAACTCCAGCAAGGGCCTTGCAATCACCAACTCCAGCAAGGACCCTGCAATCACCAACTACAACAAGGGCCTTGCAATCACCAGCTCCAGCAAGGGTCCTGCATCACCAACTCCAGCAAGGGCCTTGCAATCACCAACTCCAGCAAGGATCCTGCAGTCACCAACTCCAGCAAGGACCCTGCAATCACCAACTCCAGCAAGGACCCTGCAATCACCAACTCCAGCAAGGACCCTGCAATTACCAACTCCAACAAGGACCCTGCAATCACCAACTCCAGCAAGGACCCTGCAATCACCAACTCCAGCAAGGGTCCTGCAATCACCAACTCCAGCAAGGGCCGTGCAATCACCAACTCCAGCAAGGACCCTGCAATCACCAACTCCAGCAAGGGTCCTGCAATCACCAGCTCCAGCAAGGGCCCTGCAATCACCAACTCCAGCAAGGGCCCTGCAATCACCAACTCCAGCAAGGGTCCTGCAATCACCAGCTCCAGCAAGGGCCCTGCAATCACCAACT